TATCAATTAAAATACGTTTCGGTGTATTTTTCCACCATCATCAGTTTTTATGTGTAACGTTGTTGCTACTTTAAGCCTTGGCAAAAAATGTCTGCCTTTTTAAACAAAATCCTTGCCTATATAAGCGCCATTTTCTTCGAATTTTCTTGCCTTTAAATCCGAACTTTACTTCTGAGTTCTGAGTTCCTGATGAATCATCCTGATGTTTAAAGGCGTTTTTCCTCAGTCAACTCAGGCCTCAAATCGGGCGTCATTCCTGCATGAACTGTTAAAGAAAAATTGAGATTTGACCCTAAAAATCTCCGAAATTCAATTTTTTTAACACCCAGTTTTCCGTATTCCAGAGCGCCGCGACAGCATCTTCGTAAATACCGGTTTTGTGACGGATCTCTTGAGTCAACCGCACTCTCTCCTTTAAAAATTCGCTGCTCCCAAAATACGGAAGGCAACAATTTGAAATTTTCACCATCTTTAGAAGACTTGTGAGTCTAACATTGCTGAAAGTTTCGATCAAATCGCCCCAAAGCCTAATTTTTACCATCTTCGTAAATATCGGTTTCAAAATAGAATAATTTAGTCAACTGCGCTCCCTAATTTAAAAATTCGCAACTCCCAAACTAGCGTAGTCAGCCATTTGAAATTTTCACCATTTTTAGAAGACTTTAATAGTATTGAAAGTTTCATAAAAAGCTCCCTTAAACCTAATTTTTACCATCTTCGTAAATACCGGTTTTGTGATGGATCTCTTGAGTCAACCGCACTCTCTCCTTTAAAAATTCGCTGCTCCCAAAATAGAGAAGGAAACAATTTGAAATTTTTACCATCTTTAGGAGACTCGTGAGTCTAACATTGCTGAAAGTTTCGACCAAATCGCCCCAAAGCCTAATTTTTACCATCTTCGTAAATATCGGTTTCATAATGGAAGAATTTAGTCAACTGCGCTCTTTCCTTTAAAAATTCGCATCTCCCAAACTGCAGGAGCCAGCTATTTGAAATTTTCACCATCTTTACAAGACCTGTGGCTCTAACTGTGTTGAAAGTTTCATAGAAATCTCCCTGAAACCTGATTTTTAGCATCTTTGTAAATACCGGTTTCGTGATGCATCTCTTTAGTCAACCGCACTCTCTCCTTTAAAAATTCGCTACTCCCAAAATACAGAAGGCAACAATTTGAAATTTTCACCATTTTTAGAGGACTCGTAAGTCTAACATTCCTGAAAGTTTCGACCAAATCGCGTTGAAGCCTGATTTTTACCATCTTTGTAGATATCGGTTTCAAAATACAATAATTTAGTCAACTGCGCTCCATCCTTTAAAAATTCGCAACTCCCAAACTACCGTAGTTAGCCATTTGAAATTTTCACCATTTTTAGAAGACATGCGACTTTAATAGTATTGAAAGTTTCATAAAAAGCTCTCTTAAACCTAATTTTTACCATCTTCGTAAATATCGGTTTTGTGATGGATCTCTTGAGTCAACCGCACTCTCTCCTTTAAAAATTCGCTGCTCCCAAATACAGAAGACAACAATTTGAAATTTTCACCATTTTTAGGACTCGTGAGTCTAACATTGCTGAAAGTTTCGATCAAATTGCCCCAAAGCCTAATTTTTACCATCTTCGTAAATATCGGTTTCAAAATAGAATAATTTACTCAACTGCGCTCCATCCTTTAAAAATTCGCAACTCCCAAACTATCGTAGTCAGCCATTTGAAATTTTCACCATTTTTAGAAGACTTTAATAGTATTGAAAGTTTCATAAAAAGCTCCCTTACACCTAATTTTACCATTTTCGTAAATACCGGTTTTGTGATGGATCTCTTGAGTCAACCGCACTGTCTCCTTTAAAAATTCGCTGCTCCCAAAATACAGAAGGCAACAATTTGAAATTTTCACCATCTTTAGAAGACTTGTGAGTCTAATATTGCTGAAAGTTTCGACCAAATCGCTCTGAAGCCTGATTTTTACCATCTTCGTAGATATCGGTTTCATAATGGAAGAATTTAGTCAACTGCGCTCTTTCCTTTAAAAATTCGCATCTCCCAAACTGCAGGAGCCAGCAATTTGAAATTTTCACTATCTTTACAAGACCTGTGGCTCTAACTGTGTTGAAAGTTTCATAGAAATCTCCCTGAAACCTGATTTTTAGCATCTTCGTAAATACCGGTTTCGTGATGCATCTCTTTAGTCAACCGCACTCTCTCCTTTAAAAATTCGCTACTCCCAAAATACAGAAGGCAACAATTTGAAATTTTCAC